TAAACGAGGAGGAGCTTTTGACATCTATACCAAGACCGGGACAGAGCATAGAATAAAAATGAAAAAAAGGTACCAACTTTCATTCCACCAAATTTGCTTAACAACGATACCTTGAAAAATCTGCAAAATTATGTGGTTGTTTTGTCTCTAGGGCCTAAAATTGAACACGTAGTCTGTTCTAAAATTCAATGAAAATTGACCTAATAATCTGTAAGTCAGTTTTCTCAACAAAAATTATCAAAAATTCAGTGTTCAAAAATTCTCTTAAAAGATAGTTTCAATACAAACATTAGTGCTAGAAACTGAAACAAGCTGATAAAAGGGAATTAAAGGAAAAATTAGGTGCTAATTGCAGCATCTGATTGGTAAACGTAGGCAATTACGAAACCGTCAAGCTTTTTAGAAGAAAAAAAACTAATTTAATCCGTATGAAGGCAATTAATCAATTTTTCCAAAAATATCACTGAAGCAAACCCAGAGAAACTGAAAGAATACCCAGAGAGCATCCTGCTATTAATTGAGCTTTTAAACTTTTAAACTTGGTCGGTAATTTTTTCAAAATTTTTTACAAGCATAAAAAGGCATATCTCCCAAACTAAGAAGATTTGAGCAACCAAACTGAAACGCAAGATCTGCAACATCTGAGAGTACCATCAGAAAAACCCAGTGTAAGATTTGGAATTTGAAACTTTGTAAATCTGATTCAGTTCACGTTTTTCTCAAAGTTCAAAATCTAGGAAAACAAAAACATTCGAGATGTCATCTGAAAGTATCGCGAGAACAATTTTGAATCTAAGTTTTCTGCAAACTGTTTTTCTGATATAAACACAAAACTCGTGGTATCTCGTAAAACAAAAGGATTTGCGTATTCAAGTTTAAAAGCTAATTCGCAACCCTTGGGGGACCTCTAACAGCATTGTACATTGGGTTGGTTTTTTTTCAAACTGAATGATGTAAGCAGTGAGTTTATACTGGTACGTTTATTACAAAATAAAAACCATTGCTATGTTCAAAACAGCATATAATTTTTTTCGTCAGCCATGCAAAAGTCAAACGACAAAAAACCTCAAATATGGCGAGAAAATGAAGCCTTTTTAAATGAATAAAGTAATTAACGGGAGACAATTTTTAATGGAAAGTTCAAAAACGTCCTAGTGTAAAAATATGATAACAATTGTTCAACTGTTTATCTTTTTTAAAAAATTATTCATTTGAGTTTTAGCAATGAAAATTGTGGCTGTTAAATTTATAGAAGTTTTACTTGCAACCGCATCGTTCACAAAAGTGTTAAAAATTTCCACTGTAAAGACTCTTAGTCATTTCGAAAATTTTGTTATTCAAATGCGGGGTGCGTTCCGATTAGTAGATTTTTAATCAAGTTTTCAATTTATCAAGCCTTCTGTTTTTTCTTCATTATTTCAGCGGTTTTGTGTTTCATTACTGTTTTGAAGTTTTCAGTTTTTCTTCAGGAGATTATTTGGCAACAGATTGCAGCAGTGCTTCTTCGAAGTCAAAAAGTTTTTTTTGACTTCTCCAGAAATTAAAAACCGGTGCCAGATATTGAGCTATAGCAAAAATTTGTTATGTTCGAAGATTATACTATGTTCGAATCACGGACACTCTTTTTTATTGCCAGATATTGGGCTTTGGCAAAGAAATTGTTCGATACAATGTTAGATTCACGGAGGTTCTCTTTTTAGGTTCACTGAACTGCGCAAAAACTTGGTTCCTGTAAAAAAAATTTAGGCTTGATCTGGGTTTCGAGAAATTAGGGTCCTAAACCGTTTTTGTAATGAAT